GGAACGTCAGAGCAAGGTTGAGTCTCAAGAATAAATAAGACAATTCAGACATAAAAATTGCAACAGAATACCGGATTCTTATAAATATAAATGACTTCAGATAAGAAGAAAGGTGAATTAAGGTAATTACCAGGAGATCCAGCTATATATAGTCCCTCCGGCTGTATTGCTCGTGGGAGAGATGTTAGGACAAGAAGGTGGGATACGAGGACGAGTAGCTGGGATACGAGGACAAGGAGGTGGGATACGAGGACAAGGAGGTGGGATACGAGAACGAGTAGCTGGAATACGAGAACGAGTAGCTGGAATACGAGAACGAGTAGCTGGGATACGAGAACGAGTAGCTGGGATACGAGAACGAGTAGCTGGAATACGAGAACGAGTAGCTGGGATACGAGAACGAGTAGCTGGGATACGAGAACGAGTAGCTGGAATACGAGAACGAGTAGCTGGGATACGAGAACGAGTAGCTGGGATACGAGAACGAGTAGCTGGAATACGAGAACGAGTATCTGGGATACGAGAACGAGTAGCTGGGATACGAGAACGAGTAGCTGGAATACGAGAACGAGTAGCTGGGATACGAGAACGAGTAGCTGGGATACGAGAACGAGTAGCTGGAATACGAGAACGAGTATCTGGGATACGAGAACGAGTAGCTGGGATACGAGAACGAGTAGCTGGGATACGAGAACGAGTAGCTGGGATACGAGAACGAGTAGCTGGGATACGAGAACAAGGAGCTGGAATATGAGAAAACATTTCCTCATTGATACATCACGTTAATGTGATGTTCATTGTGCAGCTGGGATATGAGGACAAGGAGCGGGGGATATTAAAACACACAGTACAATTTATAGAGACAAAAAGGAATTCCTTTGGGTTGTCGCAGTTTTCACCTGTCTCAACGTTGGCTAACGTGTGCTAGTTTCTCCTGTCCACCGTGTGATTTGAGCATATATTACCTGGCTTCTAGTATTGAAGACCTGTTGCCTTCCCTCACAAAGTGATTTCCTTTTTCTGTGCGTTGCTCTGTGACTTTCGACATCAGTTATGTGGCTTTTCACATAAGTTCTGTGGTTCTTACTATCACGCTTGTAACTTGTTCCCATTAGCTCGTGTTTCCATGGCTCTTGTTGCCATTTATATGAATTTATATGACTCCTGTTTTCACTGTTGTGGTTCTTCCTCTTAGGAACCGTCTTGAGACAGCTGCGTGGGTGTGTGTAAGAAGTACTGACAACGTGACGAGCGGTTACGCCCTCTATGGGTCGGGCCCGCTACCTTACCTTGAGGTGTTTTCGGGGCTTAGCGTCCCCGCGGCCCGGTTGTCAGGCAGGCCTCCTCGTTGCTGGACTGGTCAACCAGGCTGTTGGACGCGGCTGCTCGCAGCTTGACGTATGAATCACAGCCTGGCTGTGTTCGAGAACGCTTTACGCTTGTGTGTACGCTTTAGCCACAAGCTAAAGCCCCGCGCATATTGTAACCCTGCAAGTTTAAAAAAAAATAGGTAGCCATTATGTAGAACAAACTATCGTATTTGCCGTCGGATATGGTGCATGTTTTTTAGTCCACCACCAATATATTTAATATATTTACGTGTACAGTATCAAATTTCCCCATACAGAAAAAAATTAAAATTTACTTTCAATAAATATGTTGTGAAACACTACTTTTTTTCTTCAAAAATGTTTGTTGTATAGCACCTTAAAGGTCGGCAAATATCCGATACGTCCTTTCCTGCGACATTTGATCTCAAATTCCTGATAGAAAATGAAAGCGCGTGGAAACATATTTTAGGTAACAGCTGATTTTATTTCTTATCTATATTTCTATCGCCCAACCACTTTAGTTGGGCGGTAGAGCGACGGTTTCGCTTCATGCAGGTCAGTGTTCAATCCCCAATCTTCCCAGTGGTTGGGCATCATTCCTGTCTCTGTCTCTTTGCTGGACCTGTGTTGCATTATGCGACACTGATGATCTGTGCTTGTTTTATTATTATTTACATACGTGGGTACCAGAACAGACGACGTCTGACACCTTTTAGCAGGCTTTAAGGCTTTAGTTCCATTGTTGCTTTCAAGTCTCTTCATCTTCATTCTTTTCTCATCTTAATTTCCTCCTGTCGATTCTCAGGTTAACCAGACAGCCAATCAGAGCATTTGCAAATCTACTTGGGAACCTGTACGTCGTCTTATTGGTCGAGCTCTCACCTGGTGGAGAACACACCTGGGGTGAGGGTGGGAAGGGGGGTGCACTACCCGGTGGTGGAGAACACACGTGGGGTGAGGGTGGGGAGGGGGGGGGTGCACTACCAGATGGTGGAGAGAGAGGCACTTTCATAGACTGCGTCACGGATCAGTGCGCAAGGCCCGCCGCGGGCATAGACAGGTTGCTAGCATCAGTCCTGACTAGCCATGGACATCCCCGGCAAGCCTCAGCCAGCCTCGATCAGCGCCGGTCAGCCCCGGTCACCCCTGGCCAGCCCTAGCCAGCTCAGGTCAACCCTGGCCAACCCCAGCCATCCCTAGCCAGCCCTAGCCAGCCCTAGCCAGCCCAGGCCAACCCCAGCCATCCCTCGCCACCCTGACAAACTTGGCCGAGGTGAAGAAGGCTTTTGTAAAATTGTAAAGCCTTGGAAATTAGCATTAAGTAAAATTAGTGGTGGCGTTTATGGCTTAAGTCCTGATGAGGACGTAGCAACGGCTATTAATAATAATAATAATAATAATAAAGAACTAGATGTAGTGATGGCAGTGATGTTTACAATATAAGTCACAGTGATAATAATATTGAGTTGTTGACAGTGCTATTCCTTGAGGTCACCTTCAGTGTGTTCCGAGGATCAAGGCCCGAACCTCTTAGTTGATGATGGTCTGGTCAACCAGACTGTTGGATGCCGCTGCACACAACCTTAAGTAGGAATCACAATTGCGTTGATCGGGAACACTTTGGAGGTATTTTAGCAAGTTCTCTCTTGAAAATCGAAAGAGGTGAGCTAGTCCAATTCCATTCAGCTAGTTCCATTTAAGGTGAGCTAGTCCAATTCCATTCAGTTAGTCCCATTTTAGGTGACCTAGTCCAATTCCATTCAGTTAGTCCCATTTTAGGTGAGCTAGTTATAGCAATAAGTATACCGATAATTGTTCCGTTGACGACGGGCTTCTACTGAAGGAGGGAATTATCAGGGGGAAGAGCGCTAAGCCATTACGACTATATAGCACTTGGAAAGGGGTCAGCATAAGGATTTGGGATGGGACGGGGGAGCCCCCAACCACTTGGACGGTCGGGGATTGAACGCCGTCCTGCATGAAGCAAGACCTTCGCTCTACCGTCCACCCCAAGAAGGAACAAAATCAATTTTTTTTTTAAATAATCAATGCTATCTCATGAGCACTGAATGTATTCTCAAGAACATACCTGCACAATATGCTCAAGAAAGGTGGCTTCTCTCCCCTCCCTCCCTCTCACAGTATACTCAAGAAGGGTCCCACTCCCCACCCAAAATATACAATAAAGGCTGTGACACCTTTACAACCTTTACAACACCTTTACAAATTTTAACACCTTTAAAGGTGTTACACCTTTAACAAGGTGTAACACCTTTACAACCTTTGTTGTGGCTATTAATCGCCCGTAGGCCGATTAATAGCCATAACACGGAAAAAGAAAGGCAACTAATTCACCGATTTCCATGTTTTAGTAATGAAGGTCAGTGGAAAGCGTGTAGAAGCAGGGCGAGGAGTTAGTTGAGACAAGCAAAAGAACGCAGTGGAAGTTTTAGGCGCCTGTACTTGAGTTTTTATGTGCGTGTATTTGTGTTAATGTGCGTAGGCAGGAGAAACGGTGTGGTCACGGGTGGCTGGCTCGGTGACCGGCCAGCAGGTCTGGGCACATGCCATGGCCCCTTGACCACTGATCTCGGACACCGGACCCCGGACAACAGACCCCGGACACCGGACCCCCCGGACACCGGACCTCCCGGACATCGTACCCCGGACAACGAACCACGGACCCCGGACAACGGACAACAGACCGCAAAGCTCTCCACTCACCAACCTAACCTTCCACCTCCGATTATGATTTTGGACTATCTAATGCAGTTATTAGAAACATACAAATTAAAGAAATTAATTCAGATTTAGAAGAACTAAGAAATGCACAGAGACCTGAAAGCTGCAGTATTAAAAGTTATGACAAGTTCTGTAATAATAGGTATTTGTATGGTCAGCACAGTAACCGGACCAGGCAATGTGATGTAGTAATCGCGCGAATTCGCCTTGGCTATAGACACATCTGGCAGGTTAGTGAGGCTGAGCCACTACCAGAATATTCAGATTGTAAACTCTGTGATAAACCTTTAATGCATTCACTAGAACACTATATTGATGAATGTGAAACCGTAAAGGACTTTAGACCTCCTGGCCTATTGTACCACCAACTGTGTAACTATTTTATTGACTCAGGTGTTCTGGACGACATCCTAACAATTTACCCAAAATTTGCTTGTCCATTTTAAAGAATGAAGAACAATTTCTACTTATATTCTAAGCTGTATCACTTATGAACCCATCCCTGCACTTGTGTGGCAGTGCACAATAGAAAGTTGTTTTCACATATCCACACATTAAAACATTGATTGTAACCGTGATATATATGTGCTTCAGCCTACAGTTTAGGCCTATTGTCTTATGTATGACCCTCTGTCCTGCGTGACAGTGAATACTAGCATTAACCTCAATTTAATAAGACTATCAAAATCCTCAGATTAGGCAAAATTGTAATTAATTTTGTCAATAAAGATGTTAATAATAATAACCTCCGTACCCTCCCCACCTTCCCTTCCCTTCGTCAGGTAACACCACAGTCTGAAGGCACCGCAAATGAACACTGATAAAACGTGAAAATGTAACTGGAACCGCAGTCCAGCTGTACCATAGAGCGGAAGTTAAAGCTTCTGAGAGTACTCATAGTGGATCTTGCGTTTACAAGAGTATTGCAAAGCGACCTGACACAGGAGACACTGTGATTACGAAGGCCGTTTTCCCAGGACGAGGCTCACCACTGCACTCCTGTGGCGCTGACCCTTGCGATTAACCCAGATGTGGTTAACTTGGATGCGATTTTCTTTTTTAGCGGGGCACTGTGTTCGCGCTCTCCACCCCCTTCTTGGCCACGCTCGGGGAGTAGAACTCCCGAAATCATCTTCAGGTATGACCCCCGAAACCGGAATAAAAAGCGACTGTGAGGACAGGAATGAATATGGTCAAATCGTACACACAACGGTTCGTTTTCTTATTGTAAAAACATTATATATATTGTTACGTAGCGATGTAGTAGTAGCTTAGGTGGTCGGCCCCTCACAGTGGCCAAGAGAGAACTGGATAAGCACCTCCAAAGGATACCTGATCATCCAGGCTGTGACTCATACATCAGGCTGCGAGCAGATGCGTCCAACAGCCTGGTTGACCAGTCCAGCAACGAGGTCTGGTCGAGGACCTGGCCGCGGGGACGCTAAGCCCCGAAACCATCTCAAGGAAACCTCAAGGTAGGTTAAGATATGATGGGTTGGGTTGGTAAGGTTAAGTAGGTTTTGAAATACGTTGTCGAACCGTCTTGTCTTCGATGTAACTTGCAGCAAGGCACTTGCCTACAAGAGTCGGTAAACTAGCGACGCGAAATTTTAAGACACTAGTACTCGCTAAACTGAAATATTCTTCCACGTTAAGTGCTGAGTTTATTATTAATAATGACCATAGGGTGTTGTAAACAATTATAACGGTGTTGTAAACGACTATTGGGTATTGTAAACGACTATTGGGTATTGTAAACGACTGCAGAGTATAGTGAACGACACCAGGGTGTTATAAGCACCATAAGCAGGGTGTTTTAGTACTATAGAGTGCTAAAAAGACTACAATAATTACACAGAATATAAGAGGGTATAGTTGTGGGGAAAATCGTGCTCCAGATACAACTAGGGCAGTTTAGTGTGGCGTGCGAGAGCCCCTTTACTAGCCGAAGTATAGATGTCCGAAGAGCGTTTCAATTACCCTTGCGGTGGGAGCAGAGTCCAATTTTGTAGGCCTAACCGAAAAGCTGTACTACGTATTTTGCGTGAATCAGTGTCAGTGACCTCGCTAAGGTGCCAAGTAGCTTATTAATCGATCTGATTAGACTGTAGTTCATAGGGTACAGGTACTAACCTGGTATTACTTACGTAGCCGTGCTTCTTTTCACCGTGGCGTGTGGCACAGCGACTAGGAAACAAGGAGGGTTTGTTGGCTATGTGGGTCTGCCGAGCGCTGCCAGCAACAGCCTTATAGGTCTGCTTACCAAGGAAGCCTGTTCTCCGGCCTGGCTGAAGGAGCGAGAGGAGCTCGCGATGACTAGGCAACAGGAAAACGGACGCGAAGAAATATATGATTTAGGATTACTAAGGAAGCGGAGGGGAGGAGGATGGAAGGGGAAGAGGGGATGGGAGAAGGAGGGTGAGGGGAAGGATGGGGGAAGGGAGGAGGAAACAGTTTTCAAAGCTGGTTAAGAGAAAACTGCTTAACCGGGCCAGAGCGGAATGTAATTAGGTGATTTTGTTGAGGAGTGTTGGGCAGCGTTCTTCCGGTGCGTCATTATTTCTGCTAATTAATCTTATTTGCTTCATCTTATTGTTGAGATTTTCGCTATTATTCCTCCTTGTCTCCCCCCCCCCACTTCTCGGGGTAGATATATTCATCCTGGCATGTGTGTGTGTGTGTGTGTGTGTGTGTACTCACCTAGTTGTGCTTGCGGAGATTAAGCTTTGGCTCTTTGGTCCCGCCTCGCAACTATTAATCAACTGCCGAACAGGTTATGATACCTGCTTGATGGGGTTCTGGGAGTTCTTCTACTCCCCAAGTCCGGCCCGAGGCCAGGCTTGACTTGTGAGAGCTTGGTCCACCAGGCTGTTGCTTGGAGCGGCCCGCAGGCCCACATACCCACCACAGCCCGGTTGGTCCGGAACTTCTTTTAGAAAACAGTCTAGTTTTCTCTTGAAGATGTCCACGGTTGTTCAGGCAATATTTCTTATAGTCGCTGGGAGGACTACTGATTATTATGACACTGAAAATGTTTTTTTAACGTCCCTGTGGCTGGCTCATTTGGGTACTAAGTTATCACCTGTGTCCCCTTGTTCGCGTCCCACTTGTGTTAAACAGTTTATCTGTATCTGTCCTGTCAATTACTCCGAGAATTTTATAGGTATAAATCATGTCTCCCCAAACTCTTCTGTCTTCCAGTGTCGTGAGGTTCAGTTCGAGCAGTCTTTCCTCGTAGCTCATACCTTTCAGCTTCGTGTTTGTGTTTGACTAGATGTGGACTCCAGGCTGGAGCCGCATATTCCATTATTGGTCCGACATATGAGGTATACAAGGTTCTGAGTTATGTGTACTCACCTAGTTGTGCTTGCGGGGGTTGAGCTTTGGTTCTTTCGCCCCGCCTCTCAACTGTCAATCTACTGGTGTACAGGTTCCTGAGCTTTTCGAGCTCCATCATATCTACATTTGAAACTGTGTATGGAGTCAGCCTCCACCACATCACTTCCTAGTGCATTCCATAAATTAACTACTACTGAAAAAGTTCTTTCTAATGTCACTGGCTCATTTGGGTAACCAGCCTCCACCTGTGTGTGTGGACGCACTTCCAACACCACTATTGTATGTGTGTGTTTGTGTGTGTGTGTTTACTAGTTGTTTACTAGTTTACTAGTTGTGTTTTGTGGGGGTTGAGCTTTGCTCTTTCGGCCCGCCTCTCAACTGTCAATCAACTGTTTACTAACTACTTTTTTTTTCCCACACCACACACACACACCCCAGGAAGCAGCCCGTGACAGCTGACTAACTCCCAGGTACCTATTTACTGCTAGGTAACAGGGGCACTTAGGGTGAAAGAAACTTTGCCCATTTGTTTCTGCCTCGTGCGGGAATCGAACCCGCGCCACAGAATTACGAGTCCTGCGCGCTATCCACCAGGCTACGAGGCCCCGTATGTGTGTGTGTGTGTGTGTGTGTGTGTGTGTGTGTGTGTGTGTGTGTGTGTGTGTGTGTGTGTGCGTGCGTGCGTGTATGTGTGTGTGTGAATATACTATTTATGCCTAAACCTGGAACTGACCGCACAAGCGCCAGTGTCCCGTTTTCTAATCCCGTTGGTCGAGTCTGTAAGAGTTTCCTTCCTCAGTTCCTCTTAGGAGGCCCGGCCCGTTACTGAGAGTCGATCCCAGGAATGAATTATGAAGGTCAGCAGCAGCAGTAGGAGGGGTCAGGTGGAGTGGAGGCTGTTGATGCGGTCCCCAGGTCAGAGGTCAGCAAGCCGGTAGGTAACCTTTCAGGGCACAAGACACAATCAGACTTACTCATGGCAGGAAAACAACATATGCAAAGTCTGGGAATTATGATGTCTGTCGGCATGACCGTGAACGTAACCTAACACATATAGCGTCAGCCAGAAAAAATATGATAGGCTGGATTAAGATAATGTTCAAATCCAGGGATAGCGAAATATACACCAGTCACTCCATATATCATCATTCTATTATGCAAGGATTATGCACATCTATAGGTCAACCAGTAAGGTTAGCAGACTTCTAGATATTACCGCTGCTAGGCTTAGGCTCGACTACAAGTACCTCTGGGAGTTTGGACCACCTGCTGATGTAGACATGATTAAATTTAAACTCTGTCAGCAGAACTATTCGCATACTTTGCTTATGCTTTGCTATGCTTATGCTTTTCTAAATTTTTAGACCAGCTCCTGCAGGAATTGCCAGACAAACCGGGCTGTGATCAAACCGATCAACCAACTTGATCAACCATGAAATAGAGGGAATATAGAGAACATATACGACACGCATAGACGCGATAGAGCACCTAAATTATTGGGATTGTCTCAAAGCTCTCCAAATGGACTCACTAGAAAGGAGACGAGGGAGATACTAAATTATATACACGTGGAAAATACTGGAGGGCCAGGTCCCAAATCTACACAGTAAAATAACAACGTACTGGAGTGAATGATGTGGAAGAAAATGCAGAATAGAACCAGTGAAGAGCAGAGGTGCCATAGGCACAATCAGAGAACACTGTACAAACATCAGAGGTCCGCGGTTGGACATCTTCAAGATAAAACTAGACTGTTTTCTAAAAAAAAATGTGCCGGACCAACCGGGCTGTGGTGAGTATGTGGGCCTGCGGGCCGCCCCAAGCAACAGCCTGGTGGACCAAACTCTCACAAGTCAAGCCTGGCCTCAGGCCGGGCTTGGGGAGTAGAACTCCCAGAACCCCATCAAACAGGCTGTTTTATATGTCAGGTTGCTAGCAGGCGCATCCAACAGCCTGGTTGACCAGACCACCAGCCAGGAGGCGTGGTCGGAGACCGGGCCGCGGGCCCGTTGATCTCTGGAACCAAGAACAAGTAGGAAATCACGATGATGGTGTAATAACACACAAGATACGCACTAAAGGAATAACTGAAACAATGAGTGGGATTACCAGCAGACAATATGTTGTGTTAAAAGAGTGAACTTGCTTGAACACTTCTCTAAAGGATACCTGATCCCGAGGTGGGGGTTCCACGACTGCTTGCGACCTGCGTCTGGCACCAGACGAGCTACTAAAGCTCTGGGCCAGATTCACGAAGCAGTTACGCAAGTGCTTACGAACGTGTACATCTTTCCTCAACTTTTGACGGCTTTGGTTACATTTATTAAACAGTTTTCAAGCATGAAATCTTCCCAATCAACTGTTGTTATTATTATAAACAGCCTCCTGGTGCTTCGGAGCTCATTAACTGTTTAATAATTGTAAACAAAGCCGCCAAAGATTGAGAAAAGATGTACAGGTTCGTAAGTGCTTGCACAACTTCGTGAATCTAACCCCAGGTCACACACGCAGCCTTGGGGGGACACTGGCCCAGTAACAACAAGGTAACTACATGGCAATCTCCCCTGGGAAATGGATGATCCGAGCGGCGAGAGCCTCCTCTTATCTCCCACGGATGATGGATAATCCGCTCTGAAAATTCAATTTTGTACAGGATTTTTTTTTAGCACTTTGCCTCCACTGACTGTTGGTTTAAAGCTTTGTCTTTCAGTGGTGGTGCTATCATTAGCTTTGTTAATCATAGCAAGGGGGG